CATTGGAGGCTCCATTTCTCTGTAGTGCCTGCAGAAAATTTGAAGAAATGGTGGCAGGCAAGAAGGCAGGCATTGTTTCTACAAGATCAAGCAAATCATTCATAAAAAGGAGGAAAATAAGCAGGCAGGCAGGGAGAAAATGTATCTTCCCTTCCTTCTTTTTGTGAAAGGAAGCAAAAGGAATCTAAACTTCTCCTGTTTTATCATGAGATAGGAAGTGATTTTTTTTTCTCCCTTTAAGTAATGGGAAGTGAGAGGAGACAGCAGGATATCATTCAGTGATCTTTTCATAATGACTGCCTCCAACATAGCGTCACCACTAAGTGGAGCTCATAACACCCCTCATTTTTACCAGATGAGGGGCAGCAACAGGCATGGTTTCCTATGTGTGCATCTCTCTGTGGCCTTTTGGATAGGCCTGTAGTCAGGGGTGAAATCCAGCAGGTTCTTACAGGTTCTGGAGAACTGGTAGCGGAAATTTGAGTAGTTTGAAGAACCAGCAAATGCCACTCTCGCTGGCCCCAGAGTGGGGTGGAAATGGAGGTTTTGCAATATCCTTCCTCTAGGAGTGGGGAAGGAATGGGATTTTGCAGTATCCTTCCCCTGCCACGCTAACCAAGCCACGCCCACCAAACCACACCATAACACACCCACCAAGCCACGCCCACAGAACCGGTAGTAAAAAAAAAATGGATTTCACCACTGCCTGTAGTCCCATCCAAGAAGGCAATTCTTAATGATTTCTCATATATTTCTCAAAGAAGTCTATATTGTCTTTGGCTTCAAAATGAAAGTTCCAAGGCAACTTGCAACAATATTTTTTTTTTTAATAAAAAAAAAGCAATTCACAACAAAAGTATTGCTGATTTGAACTTTTGTTTGTACCCTGTTGGGAGGTAGAGGCTATCACACTGCTAGGGACCAAATTGTGAGGCAAGAGGTCCTTCCAAAGAATTTTATCAGCAGTAATTTTGTATATTTGAGCTTTAAAAAAGAACTAACCAATAGCTAAATGCATATTAAAACCCACTGGAACAAAAATGTCCTAAAGAATTGCTTTTGGGGATAGCCAACATATGAAAAACTTCATAAAAATATAGCTTTATTGCCTCCAGGTCAATGTTTTTGTTTGTTCTTTATTTTTTCCCCTTAATGCAAGATAAGACATAAAATCTCTCAAGGACATTAAGAAATGGACACCAGCAGAGAAAAGTTTTTTCTAATATGCTTTTCACAACAGCAGAGCATCAATTCTGTGTTTGTTTTCTAGATGCAGTCCTTCGGTTATGGTGAAATTTCTGACACTAAACAAAATGAACGTACATGGCCCTCTTTGATTATAAAGACTACAGATAGTTCTTGACTTACAACCATAACTGAGCCCAAGTAACACAGCTGTTAACTGAAACTGGCTTCCCCATTGACTTTGTCAGAAGGTCGCAAATGATCGCATGACCCTAGAACACTGCAACCGTCATAAATATGAGCCAGTGTATGAATGTTGATCATGCAACCACAGGAATGCTCAATAGTTGTGTGAAAAACATTCAAGTCACTTTTTTCAGTGCCGTTGTAACTTCAAACAGTCACTAAATGAACTGTTGTAAGTCGAGGACTACCTGTATTCTGGGGTGAATGTTACCTTCAAATGGAAATGGGCTGGATTTTAGATAATGTTGGATTAGATGACCTGCTGTTCTTTTCTGTGCTTGCAGTTTTATGATGCACCTAATTATATGGATGCTGGAATAATTACTCCAAAGATGAACAGCATCAGTACATGGCATGGCCTGACAAATGCTGGGAAACATCTTTTTATTTGATATATTGGCACAGACAGATTTACCTAATAATCTATGGGAGGGACCCTTGACATATTTTCTACTATCAGTGGCACATTTTTGCAAGGAAGCCAGGAGCCTGACCCTCCCAATATTCCGTATTTAGCACAACAGCAGAAGAATGTTAATGACACGCAGGCAGAGAAGGCACTGTATTAAAGGGATGCATCTTGATTTTCTATAGATACGGAAGCTTGTATCAGAAGGGGTTGGGGGTAGGGAGAAAACAGTATTTTGAAAGGGCCCATATGTCCTAGTGAAATGAGTTTTTGGGGGTCAAAGAATTATCATAACTCCAAGGATCCTCCCCACTTCCTGTCAAGAATTGCCCAAACCATCACAAAGCTTGAAGAAGAAATCTTCTGACAGGCAGTCCTCGAGTTAGGACCATAATTGAGGCCCCAATTAAGGCCATGAAGTGGGTCACATGACCAGAATCTATTTTACAACTAATGGGGGCAGTTGTTAAGTGAGCACATTGGCTGTAAAGTGAATGTGATGGCCATTAAGCGAATCCATTGTTTGCTATGAGGTGGTTTTTGCCGAACATTGCAAGTAAACACCGGTTTCTGGCAAAAATCTCATGTGATCATGGGGCACTGCAAACGGCAGAGGGCCCAAAATGTGGCCATCTGACTGCAGGCAGAGGGGGGCAGATGTTGGATCTTCATAACTTTTTCAGAATCCAGCAGAACTTCGGTCACTAAGTAACTGGCCTTAAATCAAGGACTACCTGCAGTTCCAATTCTCTGCTGGAGCAATTTGTTATTTAGGAATTGGGGAAGGCAAATGGCAGTTCCTTTGTGGTAGCTGCATAACACTCCTCCATAAATCTCCACTGCTAGGCCTATTCTGTGCTCAAAGTTCAGGAAATCCACATAAATCAGGAAAACATGGAGAAGGGGAAGCAAGGCAGCTTGGCTTGGCTCTCTTCAAACCTGGAGCTGACACAGCTGCTTCAAGAAAAGCTATGCCTTGGATTATATTTTGTGGAAGTTCGGGGGGGAGGGTTAGGGGGGGTTTGGGGGGGTTAGGGTGGGGCGTGGGGGCTGGGATGGGGGGGGAAATGGGGTGAAAATGTAATTGTAAAACTTTTGCAATAAAAAAAAGAAAAGAAAAGCTATGCCTGAGGGGTGGTATCAGCTGATATCCTGTCAGGCAGAGCTGCAAGCTCTGAAATTCAAGTGTTAAGGGGGATGCTGTCTGCCTTCTTACATTAAAAGGAAGCCTGTGTACTGTGTACTTTTTTCTCAATCAATCCAAACCCCAGGGAACTATTTTGCACACATACTATAACCTTTTGATAGCTACATTGACAATTATTGAAAAGGTGCAATCCAATTTATTTTGGATTCCAATAAATGTGCAATCCAATTTATTTTGGATTCCAATCAGCTATAATGAAACACTGCAAAATAAGAGAAAATCCAATAGAAGTCACTGGGTCACTGGTCTCTCCTAAGCACTAGTGACTCTGTAACTTTGTATTAGCTCTGCTACCATTAAAGTCCCACCTTACAAAGAAAACTTCTTTCCCCCAAAACAAGTAAAATCTCTATTTTCAGCAGACAGCTGAACCAATTGCTTTCTCTAGTGGGCTACATTCCTTTGGAAAGAATTTCTTGGGGAAACCTTAGGTGGGGCTTTAAGTGAGCAGTGGATGGATTCAAAGCCAAAGGGGAGGCTATTGGTGCACCTTGTCTGACACCTCTTAAATCCCCCATTTCCTGTTTCTTTTTTGCCTATCTGTATCTTTTACTCCTTTTTTTTTTCATCCAACACAGTTCTAGAAATAGGACAAGTTGATGCCATTACTTATAGGCAAAATGATTTAGGATATGCCCATAGGATCACAAAGTAGCAACTATTTGCATTTTACTTTAGTAAGTCAAAATAAAAGCCGTTGAGTGAAAAATCCCAAAACTCAAAAGGCATAACTGCAAAAGTGGTGCATTTGCAAATATTTATCACAAGAGGAGGAAAGACAGCAAAATACCTTGCCTCCTTCCCTTGAAACTCCACCTAACAACCCGAAAACATGTTTACACAGTTCCATTAAAGCAGGATATGGGTCTCAATGCCATCCCATCATTTGGCAATCCGGACAACTTTGGATGAAGTCTAAACTTAGTCAACAACAATTAGTTTATTGTTAATATGTCTTCTCTCATAGACCTTCACACCCTTTGATAACCATCTGTGGCCTGAACACATGACAGGAACGAGAGATACAGACAGTCTCCACTGTACTGGATTTGCTTTTCCCCTACATCTTTTTTTTTTCTGTTGGTTTTAAAGTGAGAGGCAGGGCCACATCCCCTGATATTATGGGTAAAAATACCAACGGCGTTGAACGTTATGAAACCAGTTCCCGGTAAGTTCCCATCCCTCTCTAGCTTGCAATATGATCTCGGCCTAACTTCTCAGTTCTCAGGGTCGGCTTGAGGATCAAGTGTTGGTTCATCGCCCACATGAATCTCCCTGGGCTAACTCGGTTCCTGCTATAACTTTCCACCGAAGTACATAACATTCTGGAAGCAGGAAACACGCCCACCCACTTTCCCCCTCTCAATCGGCTGTCATTCAGTGGCTGTTAACACCAGTTCTGAGAAACAAAAATGCATTGTGGCTAAATATAGACCGTCAGTTCGGGGCTTGGCTCTCATGTTACCGAGAGACAGTTCCCTGTCTGTATTTGAGCAAGGTGCTAACACCTCAAAGAGGGCACAGAGAAAGAAGCAGAACGCAGTTAAACAACTGCATTTCCCCCCCCTTTTGGTGAAAAGGGAAATCAACCCCTTAACCGCTCCTTTTCAGCTCCCCTTTCAATGACACTTTCAGCGACGCCGTTGGGGGGAAAAAATTATAATTAAAGGTTGATCTTTGCAAACGAGCGTTGTAGTTGGAGTCCTGCCTCGTCCCAGGAACGCATGCACAACTTTTTTGTTTTTTCTCTGCTTGCTTTTCACACCCACCAACACTCGTAAATGCAAGGCAAGAGAGGAGTAAAGTTTCCAGAACTTAACTTTAGGAAGTTTTTTGAAAGAGAAAAGAAAGAGCAAGGCAGCGACTCCCACCCCCCCTTCTTTTTTTAAACACACGAAGCGTTAAGAGTTGTAGGTTTGTCATTTTGCACAAGGAGGGGTTTTGAGTACTCACGCGGAGGAGAGACTGTTGTACTGTTAGGGAAATTCATCCTGTAAACATTCAGAAATGCTCCCCTCTTGCTTTTTTTTTTTTTTTTTTGCACTGTCTGTGTGCTTTCCTATCCACGTCCAAAGACGAATGAAGCAAAGCTGCAGCAAAGACCGGGGAACCAAACGGGAGAAAGCCTCGCTTGTTCAGATGCTTCCAGCATGGTTCTTGACCATTTACCACTGGAAAAGGAAACAGCGCATTCAGCTCGCATGAAAAGGGGAGGGGCCTTGCTTTTTTAGATAAGCAACAGCTTCTTCTTCTTCTTTTTTTTTTACATGCCGTCTTCCTTTTCTGCCTCTTCAGTATTTACTATGGGACATTTCCATCTTTAACAAGGGATACGATTTTCATTGTTTTTTTGCCTGTACATCAACAGGTTTTGCAGAGTTTTGTAATCTTTCTAAAACTTTAAAAAAAAAAACTTACGAGAGAAGCAGTAGAAAAACTTAAAAAATGAAGCACAAAATGGGAAGTCCCTTCTTTTAATTTCTAGCTTGTTGTAAAATCTTGAGATAGCCTTGACGCCAGCTAAAATGTTACGTGTTCTCCATAATAAATCAATAATAATACATAGAATACTTCCCTTACAAGATTTTAAGGGAAATATTCTATGTATACTATATATACTATGTAAACCCGTACTATATACTGTAGGAAGTTAGCACCCACCCCTTTCCTGGAAGAGTGAAATATTTTAGGAAATATGAAAAAGGCAGAATATTATATTTCCCTGGATAAGAACTGGAGAAGCATATTTTACAGACAAAGCAGCTCCCACCTTCCTGCCCCCCACCCTTTGTCAATGGGCCATTAAGGCCTGGGCCAGTCTATTCTACATAACAAAGATCTGCCTCCTTCAGGCAGAGCCATAGTAGGAATTGCCAAAGATCCAACAAAGATAGGATTAGCCCTCTACACAATAGCAGCAGAAACTCACCACATGTGACCTGGGAAGCACATGTGACCATCAGCCAGCAAGGCTAGCTAAGACCCCCACCCCCTGAGAGTCTGACAACCAATCAGAGTACTCTTTCTGGGCCCCAGGAAGTTCAAAGCCAGAGAGAGCATAAAAACCCGTGGACTCGCTGTATTCCTCCCTTTTTCTTTTCAGGAACTCAAGCCATGTGATCCTGTCCACCATTAAACCATCTTTCCAAGCAGTCTCCATGTTTCCAGTGTCTTTTTCCCCACTTGGAGCAGAACCTAGAAGAATGTTTCTTCCAACAATACTATGGGTTGTAATAGTGATTGTCTAAAATCTTGAGAACTTCAAACCATGAACTCTAGCCCCACCTTAAGTCTGAAAGCCAGACTGGTGACTTTGGGCCAGTCTCTCTCTCTCTCAGCGGAACCCACCTCGCAAGGTTGTTGTTCTGGGAAAAATCAGAGCAGGAAGGAGTATTAGGTACATTTGCTGCCTGGAGTGTAATAAGGTGTTAAAGGGTTAAAAATCTAATAAATTGTGTAGATGATTATGAGCAATGACCTTAAAGAAGATCAAGTTCCCATAAAGATAGTTTTAAAATTGTTTATTATCAAGAGTAAATATTTGTGTTCATGTTTTTAGGAACTTATTTTGAATACATTACTTTGCTCTGATACTGTAAACACTATCAGAGATTCTTTTGTTTATTTCTGTTTGTTCTTGGTTCTCAGTCAGTAATTCAGGTGGCTAATAATGCTGAGTCATGTCCTCTAGCATTTAGGAAGATGTAATTTCCTGTTAGGAATATTATTCTAGTCATTCATTTATCCATTCCATGCTTAATGCATCCTTCCTTCTCACACAATCCAGGATTTCAAAAAAGGGTAGACAAATCTTCTCTCGTCCATTTTATTTATATAAATGGCTTGTGAGATTGGATAGGTCAGAGGCTGCAGTACAACCACCTCCTAAAATAATAAAAGAATGTGGGCAATTCCCCTTTTTACACCATAAATAAAATTAAAAATTTCTCTGGAATTAGGAGAAAGGAAGGAAGGAAGGAAGGAAGGAAGGAAGGAAGGAAGGAAGGAAGGAAGGAAGGAGAAAGAAAGAAAAAGAAAGAAAGAAAGACGAGACAGACAGACATCATTTACATTTACTGTACAGGCTGAGACTTAGGGAGTCTCAGCCTGTACAGATCAAGTGAAGAGAAAATCCAAGAGAGAGTTTTCATAATCGCTTTACTTATGCAAACCTGAAGAGGTTTAAAAACTAATTGCAAACACCCTCCAAGTTGCTTGCAAGCCCCCCTTCCTCCTGGTGTCCCAACTCATAGTTTACAAACCTCAATATTAGGCTGCTAGATAGTTACTGAGACATGTTACACAAAAACCTAATGGGAGACTTAAGTCTTCCAGTCTTAATGCTAATTTAGAGTTGCCTACACCTGCCTTCAGCAGTCACTTCATACCTACACTGCAAAGCTTGATGGGTAAATTGAGGTTGCAGAAGGCTGCATGCTCACACCTCCTGAATTCCAACTGTGCATTGTGGAGAGGTGTGCACCCTGCATGCTGATTGGTTCGGTCTTCCTGCTGGTAGGCGGGTAAAGCAAGGTAAATTCACAACTTCTGGAGGCAAGCCATTCCACTGATTAATTGTTCTCATTGTCAGGAAATTTTTCCTTAGTTTTAGGTTGCTTCTCTCCTTGATTAGTTCCCATCCACTGCTTCTTATCCTGCCCTCAGGTGTTTTGGAGATTAGCTTGACTCCCTCTTCTTTGTGGCAGCCCCTGAGATAATGGAACACTGCTATCATGTCAACCCTACTCTTTCTCTTTGTTAGATTGGACACACCCAGTTCCTGCAACCATTCATTGTATGTATTAGCCTCCAGCCCCCTAATCATCTTTGTTGCTTTTGTCTGAAACCCTTTCTAGAATCTCAGTATCCTTTTTGTATCGTGGAGACCAAAACTGGTTGAAGTGTTCCAAATGTGGTTTTACCATATCATTGTGAGAACACCTACTGAGAGTCCTCCTACCTACAGAGGCCCATGGGCTATGGAAGAGATGGATCTGGTAGGCCTCAGTATTATATTTTTCCCTGCCTCCCACACTACAATTTTCATAAAAACAGTTAAGATTATTTTATTTCATTGGGTTTTGAATAGAGTTGCTATTATGCGTTTCTTCCTTCACCTCACCCTGCCCTCCACCCGGTAGGAGCTTTACTGTATTCATTGTTTTGATTGGGTGGTTATTATTTTCTTGTTTGCCAACCAGAATCTGGGTAAAGTGGAACAGCTTTAAAAGGTTGCAAAACAAACAAATAAATGCTAATCTCACAACAATGCTTGGATGCAGTGCAGCCTGATAGCACAAAGTCTCTGAGAGTAGGCATTGTTGGAGGGCAAGCACAATTCACTGCATAAATAGTACCCAGAAAGATAACATTGAAAGAGCTTCTAGAGTCATCTAGTGCCAATTGGCCTTTCCATGCAGGGTCTGCAATGCAGGGAGCTGCTACAACCTCGGTGACAGAAGGCTGCCTGGCCTCTGTTGAAATGCATTTAGCAAAAGGAAGAACATTGACTCCTTCCACATTGCAGATAGTTTTTGTCTCTGAAATGTTCCTATAATGTTTAACCCAAATCTAGTTTCCATAATGAGGGGATCTTGGTGATCTCGTGAGTTTCATTGTTTTCTTGCAGATATTTCATTACCCAAACTAGGTAACATTATCAGTGCTAGTCCTAGTACTGGTGTTTACCTAGTTAGGGTAATGAAACATTTGCAAGAACACAATCAAGTTCGGAGAGCACCAGGCACCCCTTATTTCAACCCTGAGCTACAAATATTCTCCTTTAATTTCTGTAACATTTGAAGAAGCCATGGGCTCAGACAACGTAACATACCAAAGAGGTATTTGTCAGAGAACCTTCCTTATAAGGGAGAGAATGAATAGAATTGTTTGAGGCCACTAGCCTAGGACATAAATGTGTCCATCTCACCCATGATTATAAATGGAAGGAAAAAATGCAAAGCGGTAAGAGGCCAATAGGTCTATAGTCTTTAGTACATATCATAGATGGGAAGAATATAATTGATCTGCTTGGGTAACCATTTGAATTGAAATATTCCAAAATGAGCTCCATAATGGTCATGATGTTGAACATAGCAAAATATTTAACTAAGACCCTGAAACACTATTCTCCTTCATATTACTGTCATAATATTCAGAGAAATGTAAATTGGACACACAAATTTATTCCATTTTGCTTATAACTGAAGAGTGGAGTTTGTGGTCCTTGGGATATGGTTGAAAATTATCTTTGCTGTGAACAGGGATCATGATGTGTTACAAAGCCCAGCTTACTGGATTCCAGGTTAAATTCAGAAACCCAGCTTGGATATCAGGACTAATTTGTTTATTTACTGTTGGTTTATTTATTTAATTTGTTTGCTGCCCGTCTCACCTAGAAGCAACTCTGGGCAGCTTACAAACATTAAAACATTGAACAATAAAAACTCATAAATATATTAATTTACAATTTAAAAAATGGGGAGAAAGGGAGCAGAGTGTACATGGGAAAAAGTAGGGTCTTGTCTTAATTCATCAGCCACTAATCCTGCAGGATGACATACATTTGGGGCCATAGATGGCCAAGGCAACAGTACAGATTTTCAGATGGAGATACAAAGAAGGTAAGCCATGTGAGCACAGTAGACGGTGAATCCTTCTTTTCCTAATGCAAATGAAAGAAGCAAGCCATACTGTATGCTACTCATTTTCTTTAAGGGAAATAACAGGCAGGTTGGAGTGAAGCCTACTTCCTGCCATAAAGCTGTGATGTAATTGTGCCTTTGTTGTTGGTATTGAGAGTGCAATTCCACTTCCTGTGCAAATGAATGAAGATAGGATATTTCATTCACCCGTAGAGAAGAAAAATTGCATGGTGGGACAAAATGAGTAGAGTGTCTCTATCCACAACTTTGTCAAAAGATGACAAGCCATAAACACTCCCTTATTAAGTACAGCTACAATTGTCCCTCTGCTCATTCTAAAGTTATCAAGGCTCTCCTTTACAGAATAGAATTTTTATTGGCCAAGTGTGATTGGAAACACAAGGAATTTGTCTTGGTGTATATGCTCTCAGTGTACATAAAATAAAAGATACGTTCATCAAAAATCATAAGGTACAACACTTAATGATAGTCATAGGTTACAAATAAGCAATCAGGAAACAATTTTTATTTATAATTAAAAACATTCAGCAAGAGTCTTCCCAGT